GACTCGGGGTTAAAAACCGGTTCTGCTTACGGTATATTTAAAGTAGGAGACTTATTTATATAGATTACAGGGTTACTTTTATTAATTATAGTATCTAAAGAAGAAGTTAGAAACTGAATTTCTAGTATATATACGTTATAATACTAGGTAGTCTTCCTAGATCGAGGATTATATAATATATAGTTATAATCGTTATAATCTACTAAAGCACTCTAAAGTGCTCGTGGATCCAGTTTCTTAGTTTTCGGGTCGCTATTTTTATAACATATAATAGAACCCTAAACCCGAATATTATGTATATTAGATTTACGATTTTCTACTAATTCGTAGGGCGTTTTAAAACCTACTACTAAATTAGGTATTTTATTATACGTATAGACGGCTAAATACACCGTATCCTCCTAAAGGTATTTAGGTAGGCCTGAGTAGAAAAGAAAATAACACACTTTTTGTATTATAGACCTTATAACCTGTTCTATCGAGCCTTAAGTCTTATAGGTATACGGGGGTTTTATATTATAATTTACACAGACGAATAGTCTTTTAAACAAGGTATTCGTAAATTCTTCCCCGTCGTCGGTATTAACTTCTTTTATTTTTTTATTATATTCAATATTTGCCACGGGGATTTTTCCCTCTTTTATAGCGTTTATAATAGATATATCTGATTTTTCTATACGCTGTTTTGCCTATAAATACTATATCGAACGGTCTATTATAAACAGAATCCAACTCTTTCTATTATACGTTATAGGGTTAATAGGCCCGTATAAATCTATATAAACCTTTTTAAGGTAGGAAAAATTCTTATATTGATTAAAAGATTCTTTATTTACGAGCGTGGCAATGTTACTTTTTCTGTAGGTTTTATAGCTCTATATTTCTAGTATATCTTCTTTAGATATACTTATTATATTCTTATTTATATATTTTAAAGCAGTGGAGATAATATAGCCTATCCTGTAATGCTATAGCGTTATGCTTTCTTTATGATTGATTATTTTCCGACGTTATTTGGGTCTCTTTATTCTATTCTTTATTCTACCGGTTAGTCTTTTCTTTATTCCACGACCTATGCCCCTAAAGAGTGGGTCCTTAAGTGCGTATTATCTAGGAACGAATTCTTTATGCCTGACTATTCCTTTATTCCTTTTCTTTTATGTAGAGTCTTCTTTATTCCTAGTTCTATTATATTTATAGCACTATAATGCTGCGAGGACCGTGATAACTCTATTACCCCCCCGTATATTAGGGCCCGTGCCGAAGCCTAGTAAAGACCGTTATATAAAACGGCTCTAGTATAAATATTAGTTTCATTTTAGTTTTTTTTAGAATAGAATAAGCTAGTTATTTCTTATAAGGCCGTATATTTTCTTTTTATCTAGGACAGGAAGGCTGATAATACTAGTCTCCAATTCGGGTATATATAAATAGTTCTGAAGTAGTAATATTCTTTCTGAATCCCTGAAATTAATATAATAGTTATTAGTACCTATTAAGTTTACTTTATTTATATCACCGGTTAACTAGTAGTATTTTGAGTAGTCTTATACGTAGAAAAGAGCGTTTTATCTGCTACTATATGTGCTATAGCGCTACTATCGATATAAAAATTTAAATTTAATTTGATACCTGAAATCCTGTTGCTCTTGTCTACTATCTGTCCTATAATTATATTAGTATTTTAAGGGGTTTTATTAATTTGTGGTTTATTTTAAAGAATAAAAACCTGTTTAATATCTATTAGGTCTTCCGCGTGGGGGTTCGGGAGACGTGAGGGATTAGGCATAATAGGAACGTGTTGAAAAAGAGCCTTGTCGTCCGAGTCCTCTTCTTCTTCCTGATCGTTTTTTTCTGTTTCTTTTTCTGATTCTTCTTCTAATTCTTCCTTTTCTTCTAAACAAGGCTCCTCCGTAGGCGGTATATTGTAGACTAAATTAATAGTCTTATCGTTTTTTATTTCCTCTAGGAGCTTTTATTCCTCGCACTAACGGAAGAAATTAAGTATTTTAGACTCTCGTAACGATAACTTCAACGGTTTGGTCTTCTTCTTCAGAGGCTTTTTATTTACCCGATTTTAGGTATTTTTCCTCGAACCTGAATTTCCCTAAACTACCTAGCCTACGGGGGCTTTTTCAGAGTATAAAAAATAATAGTTTGTCGGTCGATATCCCGGGCTTTTACAGTTACTATGAAAGAGGTTTTGCTTTTAATTGCCGCTACTTAACTACTTTTTCTGACGTTTCTCAGCTTTTATAAGCAGGGTATTTAAGGTAAAAGAGTCGATTTTCTTTAACGCGTTAATTACTTCTATAATGATTTTATCGAACGTATAACTATCCATATTATACCGAAGAGCCTGTATAATCTATATAGTGACTACGTCGTAACGCTTATCTAGGCGGTTTAGAGTCTAGGTAAAGACTACCTTATTAGGTAGAATAATATCCTTTCCTTAAAGGGTAAATAGTCTTTCTTAGACTTTATATAGAAAGTCCTTAAGCGTGGAGAATTCTAAGACTTCTAGGTTAAAAAGCCATATAAGGACGCTATAATCTGCTTAAAACCCCTTTTTCTTATATGGGGATTTTAGCTTTTCCTAGATTTCTAAAGTAAAATTAAGGTCCTAAACCTATATTAGGGGCCTATCTCATAGAGCGGAGAGTATATCTCTAGTAGTCTTTAAATCTTCTTCTTTTACCCTATTATTGGTATTTTGAGGAGGGGTTTTATAAGCTGTTTTAGAAGCTTTCCCTTATATATAAAGTAAGGACATATAGCTATTATCTAGGTTTAGTAGTCCTGACTACCCTTAAGCTTCTTCACGTTAATATCTTTAAGTTCTGCCTAAGCGGGTATCTTAAGAGCTTCTGAATTATATTTCTTTTATTTATTTTAGATAAGAACTAATAAAGTTATAATATAAATAAGGAAAATAGTCCTTTTCTTTATTCCTTTCTTTATTCTATACACGGGGTAATCACTATAGCGATACCTTTATTCGTGCGGGTCTAAATTAAAGCCAGTATATAGTTCTTTATTCTTAAAAAGGAAAAACGGCTTCGTAGATAAATAAAAACAATACCCGTATATATAGGTAGTAGAGTTCCTTTAGTTCTAAAGATAGTATTCCCTTATTCTGATAGGTCTAAAGCGGAGCTAGTATAATTCCTTTATATGCGAGGACCCTAAAATAGGTCTTCGCGGAATAAGGGGATTTACGGTCGTGTAGAAAATACGATATTTATATAGAATTCCACGGTCGGAAAATATATAGATATAGAAGTCTCGGGTACAATTAAAGACTTATAAGTAACGAAAAGTATCCTAGTTATATAACTAGAATAACCCTCGTAGTATAGTCGTTATAGTATTCGTACGTAAAGAATAAAGAGTGCCCCTATTTAATTCACGTAATCGTAGCTTATATATTTATTTAGTAGATTTTATGGATTTATAAACATACGACTAAGCCGACTAACCGATTAAACCATAGGATCGTAGAAGTAGGAATATAGGCAGGTAGGTTAGTAGGTAGGTAGGTAGTGTTAGTAGTAGGTAGAGTGGAATATCGGATAGGAAAGGAGACTATTATTTACAATCAGGGGTTTCTCTTTTTAGATTACGACCGTAGGTAATTAAGGAATATATTGTTTCGAGACTTTAGTCGAGCTTTTCCGGGCTTATAGCCTTTTCAAAATTTCGGATAAGTGGAAGGGATGAAAGTCACGAAAAGCAGTGGAAAAATAGATAGTAATAATAGGATTATAATATAGGATTTCTCCGCGCGTGTGGATTATATAAAAGCGATAAAGAAGAAGAATAATGGAGAGAAGAACCGAACCGAGGGGATAGGCTAATATCCTTTGTTCTCTCCTTCTTTAGAAAAGGGATCAATATCGTAATAATATCGTAATCTATTATCTAAGATCGGTATCGTAATAATATCGTAATCCTTTTTCTGACTCGAAAGAGAACGGTCTAGGCTTACGGGGAAGATATCCTTTGTTCCAGTACGAAGGTACTTGAAGGATATACTCGAAGGATATTATTAGTAATATTAACAGTAAGGCCTCTTTAAGGGTATATATATTAATACGAAGGATATAATCGCAGACGGTTTAATAAAGGTATTACTAGAGGCGGGGATTAAAAGACTCTAATAATAGCTTAATTTTACGGATTAAAAGGATCGTATCGAGTAGTTCAAGTAACTACACGAAGAGATTAAATACACTAAAGCCGCGGCCGTAGCGATAATAAAGGCCCTTGAGGGTGTAGTAGATCTAATAGATATAGATCCGATTAAGCAGATTCGGCTAATCAGGATTAAGGAACTAATTAAGATAGAATTAAATTAATCGGTTAAATAGGGCGGATTTAGATCCCTTTTATAGGGGTATTTTCCCTTAACTATTAATTTTATAATAGAAAAGTTAAGAGCTTTTGGTTTAAACCGAAGTCTCTAATTAGTTAATTAACCTAGGAAGACCCACCTTAACTAAAGTGGTGTGTTATTTAGGTATAGGGACTACGATATAGTCTCTAAGGGATCTATACCTGACTAAGAGCTTTGGACTCGGGCACCTCGGGTATTAGGATATAATAAGGGCAGATACCGGAAAAGACCGGATAGTATCTAAATCATATAGTACCTATAACAGAGTCTTCACTACCGAAAGTAAGGGTATAAGAGACTTATATAGATATAACTTAATGTAATATATATCTACGAGATTTCGGCTCTATTAAGTTAATTATATAAGTGCTATTTTAACGTGTGACACGAGGTTTCTTCTAGGCAAGGCCGCCTCTCTACCTAATCCAAACACGGATTTGACATGTCGCATTTCTGTGGTTCTAATTCGTCCCTTGGTGGAAAGTCTATGTTCCCCTCCCTTATCCCCTGACGGTGACTAGCGCATAACACTTCTCCTCCTCCCACTCGGATTCTGTAGAAACGGATATCTGTCGCGCCCCGAGACCATCCTGCTCTATAGAAAGACTTCTGAACATTCCGACACCATGGTTAGTCTTTTATCTTCTTCTAATATCTTTTCCAGCCTTTGTCTTGTCATTCCTACCGTCCCAAGCAGACCAGGGCCAAGAGTAGCAGCCCTAGCTTCAGCGAGATGATACTAACATTTGTCCGCACATAGGCCGACTCGCTCACCGAGGAACAGGTCTCTGAGTTCAAGGAAGCATTTTCTCTATTTGTTCGTACATATACCCCTAAGTCTACTCAGTACAACATTCCTTCTACTGGTCAGGGTTACTCCATCTCCCGTGGCATTCACTGACCCTATCATAGGACAAGGACGGCGATGGTTAGTATATCCCCTCCACGTCCCAAGCGACTCTTCCTTGACAGGTCACGATACCGATTGGCTCTTCGTTCAAACCCAACCCGCCAAAGACTTTTTCCGGACAAATATACACAAGCTGAACAACCCCATAGGTCAAATCACAACCAAGGAGCTCGGCACGGTTATGCGCTCCTTGGGGCAAAATCCTTCCGAATCCGAACTTCAAGACATGATTAACGAAGTCGATGCTGATAATAATGGCACTATTGATTTCCCCGGTAGGTATTCAAGCAAATGCTATCGATGCATGAGCCTAGGCTAAAGTCCCGCTGTCCTAAGAATTCCTGACTATGATGGCCCGAAAGATGAAGGACACGGATTCGGAGGAGGAAATTCGCGAGGCATTCAAGGTATATTACAATTCCTTGCTTCGGATTAGCGATGGCTCCATAATGATGCTTTGTCTAGGTATTTGACCGAGACAACAATGGCTTTATCTCGGCGGCTGAGCTCCGTCATGTCATGACGTCTATTGGCGAGAAACTCACAGACGACGAAGTCGACGAGATGATCCGAGAGGCAGACCAGGACGGCGACGGACGAATTGACTGTGAGCATATCAGTTTCGCATCTCCATATTGCAGAGCCCGCTGACACCGGTTTCTTCCATTTCTTAGACAATGAATTTGTCCAGCTCATGATGCAGAAGTAGACACATGGCTTGATCCCATGAAATAAGAAAAAAGAAATGAAGACAGATAGGCGGGAATTCAGTCCTTGAGCTAAGTGGGTCGGCAAGTGAGATCGTGATATTGTTCCGTTTTCAGCTGCTTAATTCTTCCATTGCGTTCTGCACGGGTAGTAAGCGTATTTCCATGGATATGTAAGGGGTTCCTCTTCGGATCAGGATTAATAGTGACTGCTCTGGGGCTTCTCTGGAAGTTGCGGACTAACAATGTCAGAACACAAATAAAGGTACGGAATGATGTGTGTATTTATCTAAGTGACGTTTTTGATACTTTATAGGGATGTCTAACTATAGTGAAAAACTAGGGGAAATAAGTGTGGATGTATAGGAATAAGGTACTCTATATATCTAATATAATATAGTTTATTATACGTCGCTAAGGTGGCTATTATCGTATATCTAAACAGTATTTATATAATTCACTTAGTAGAGTAGAAATCTTATATATATATATTATATAAAGTTATATCTGTGTACGTCTTTTATACCCTTAATTTAGGTAGTAAAGACTCTGTTATAGGTACTATATTATTTGGATTCTCTCCGGTTTTTTCCGGTATCCGCCTTTATTATATCCTGGTACCCGAGGTCCCCGAGATCCAAAGCCCTTAGTCAGGTATAGATCTCTTAGGGACTATATCGTGGTCCGTATACCTATACGATAGCTATAGGCATCTAATAAATAACCTTAACTAGTAGCCCCTAACCCCGGGCACCGAATTACTCTAGAAGTAGGAAATGTACGACTCCTGCTATTTCGCGAAGCATATATAGAAATGTCCTATAATTATAAAGGGATAGATTACGGCGCCTAGACGTTTTGGTATCGAGCCTGAAAATATATTGTTATGTTAATATATATTCTGTGGAATATAGTGTAACTGTAAAGGGTAAAGACGATAAAAACGGTTGGATTAAGAGGTTCTAACTTAATTATATTAAGGCCGTAGTATATTACGAAGACGTGAGGTTATAGAAGGCAAAGTTAATACCCGATAGTCCTAGGATTATCTACCTTCTATATCGAAATCTCGTAATCGGCTATTAGATTATTCTACCTTGATAAGGTCTATACGATATATCTCCTTACTGCCTGGCTATACTTAGCGGGTAGGTAGTTAAAGCTATTTATTAGTATCAGACTAAAAATATACCGCTATACTAAAAGAGAATTCCCCCACTTGAGTAGGTACTTCTGGTGTCTTATATAGTTTAACACACACCCCTAGCCTTGTGTGAAGGACGATCTTCGCGCTTAATAAAGGCTAGATGCATTATTAGCATCAAGGCGGCTCTCTTTGATTAGATATAACGCTCCTCTAGTGGATCTCTCTCTTATTCTTTTCAGATATCTCCTCGGCTAGGGTTGGAATGGGTGACTTAAGGCAGGGAACTTATAGGAATAAATCCTCCTAGACTTATAACTGTCAGATTAAAAATGTACCGCTATACTAAAAGGGAACTCCCCTACATAAGTAAGTACTTCTAGTGTCTTATATAGTTCAACAGTTAGAATATAAATAAAGGTACGGAATTATATATGTATATATCTATGTAAAGGTCGGAGTACACTACAGGGATATCTAACGACTTGGAAAATACAGAGAAAACAACTATAGGTACATAGGATTGATATACTCTATATATCTAATATAATATAGTTTGTTATACGACGATAAGATGGCTATAGGTATCTAATATACCCCTCCCCACAACTATAGGATTAATCTTAAGTATTCCGCTTGTTAAAACATAAATCCTACGGTAAAATAGGCCTAGATGTTAATTAACGGCCTTAAAGGTATTAAAGCCTAAAAAGCGATTAAAAAGTATTCAAAGTAGGCGCCTAAATAATAGTCAATGGGGATATAAAAACATTTAAAATAATAATCTAATTAACCGTTTCCCTTTGGTTAAAAGCCGACCGAAGAGTATTTTCTCTTAGTAATTACTTTAATCTAATATGGGGACATTTATACTAAGTAGCTATATAAACGCCCTGTGTTTCTACTGGAGTAGTATCTCTATAACACTATTACTAACTATATTATCAGTAGCGATCTTATTAATCGAGATAGTCCTTTTTAAACTGTTTATCGGGTCTAAAAGGCGTGGATATAAAGATACCTTAATTTAGAGGTGACCTACGGCCTGGGCTATTCTAGCAGCTGCTTAGTTTATTAATAACCGTAGTATACTATTAGTAGTGTCTCCTTAAAAGTAAGGGTAAGGTTCTTTATTAAACACCTTATCGCGATATACTACCTAGTAGTGGCAGAAAGTGCTATAAGCTTAGCCTTAGTATTTAGGGTCACGACGCTTACTTACTTATAGTATTCTAGTCTGTAGAACCGCCGAATAGTAATATTGTGTAACCTTATAAGCTATACTAGTTTTACGATTGTCCGTGAAGGCGGCGTTAGAGGTATAGAAAAGTGTAGGCTTTTAGTAGTCTTAACGTGGTCCGAAGTAAAGGCGTCGGGTCTTTATCGAGCCGAGATACTTTAGGCACCTATTATCGGTATTATGATACTATTCTAATCGGTTAATACTAAATTCGGCGAGCCTTAAAGTAGTCTTAGCTATATCAGGCCGGGTTTTATAAGCAGCGTAATGAATAAAACCGACCTTACGAAGATATAGGTAGATTTGTTAAATAGACTATAGTCTTACGATTATATTACGGGCCGGATTTAACCGAAGGGTTATAATCTCGTTAATCCGGGTAGACACCTGCAGAATCTTCACTATAGATATTACGGTGGCAGCAGTTTCCTGACGGTCCTGTATAGTTATAATAATTATATATTATTATAATTAATTTACCCTTTAATTCTAACCCTATTTTAACCAGTTCCGGTTATGCTATATCTGATAATTAAGAGTCTTACTTACTAAGTAACGATATACTATTTTTACTTACCCTCCTACTACTTAAGATCTATACTAGCTAAGCCGATATATTGAACCGAGAACCCTTTATAATCCTACCGAAAGAACTATTTTAACGGCCTACCTTCGGCAAGATAAATAAGAGCAACACTATAGTCTATTATATTTATAAGGACTAGAAGCTTCAGCGCCGCCGCTACGAATTGGTAGCTATATTTAAAAGCGTTTAGCGATATTCACGCCCTAATAATCCGGCTCCCCCTCCTTAGGAACCTAATCTACCCGACTATACCGACTTTTAGGCTACCTAAGCTATTATAACTATAAAGCACTCGCCTACGTAGCTTATAGATCTAACAGCTAATAGGTAATATATCCACGAATCGGCGATTATTTCTTTTTATTTAATACACGTATATAGCCCTGGAGCTATACCGCGAGTCTATTAAGGAGACTAACCCTATAACGAGTTAACTAGTCTATATATATAAACCTGTTAACAGTAAGGTAAAATCCTTATAAATAGCTTCCTAAGGCTATAGCGGTCTAGGTTTCTTATCGTTCCGGGAACTATCTTATTAGGTTACGCGCTCCACGAAGTGCCCTAGCTTACATAGCCTAATCGTAGTCGTATATATATATATATATATACGCTTAATTACGCGTAGTAGGGTATATACCCTCCCTCCCTAAAGAGGGTATATACCGGAGGCAGTATAGTTCCACTTATTACCACGTAAGCTAATAAATATCATACCGAATGTGCGGGGACCCCTATAACGTGCAGGAGCTCCGGGTAGGTCGCGCGCTAATTAAAACGTTCGCGCGCGATTAAGGGGAGTGGGATTCGAACCCACGGCCCAACGCGGCTACCAGGCATATCTACCACCTACGCCATCCCCCTAAATCGGCGATTAGTTGTTAGAAGATTATTAAAGATGGAATTCGACGACTACCTTAAGGGCCTTAACGCCGTGCAGGTATAGTGGGTATCTTGTATTACTAAGAGCCGTAGCTAACTTTTACGCGATAATATTCCTTAAGAGGTCTTTAATAGTATATACTAAAGAATAGCGTATAATTCAGCGCTAGCGACCTTGGCAGAGGCGCCTAGGTTAAAGCCTAGAGCTTTACGGATTATACGTAGTTAAGTAGATACGTATAAATTTCTGTCGCCCTGCTTCTAGCGATAATAACGCCCCTAGATTATTCGGCACCGCTATTCTAAGCGGGAATCTGCGCTAAGGAAGACTCTAGTTAGATACTAAAATCCCTTAATGAGGGCTAGATTTCGTTCGATTATATTAGCTTATTATTACACTCAAATACACGGAACTGTCCGCTAAACTACGCCTTAAACTATAGCAAGAACGCCTATATAAAGGTATAAGTATCCTCCGCTCTCTTCGACCTTATAATATAGGTATTAATAAAGCCGTTATATTAATGTATAAAGAATATAACCCTAATATTATTATCGGCGTTCCTCCTAAAGTCGGTAAAGTCTATAGCCTACTATTCCCTGCAGTAGGTAGGAGCTATACACGGCCTTCGGCTAATTTATCCGGTGATTTCAGCCTACGTATAACTATTATAATCCACGGTTCTAAGACCTAATCTTAATGCCCTAAGACTACTCTTCGAGGTGCTTAAGTGGTTCAGGGTCTATATACCCTAATCGTAGATACTATAGTATACCCTCGGCGTGCCTTATAGGGTATACCGTACTACGGGCACGCGGACCTAGAAAAGCAGTAGCGGCGTTAGTATCGTTAAGAGACATGTCTTTAATAATGGTTTAATCGTGGTAGTGACTTAGCTTATATAGGATCGATCTGTTAGCGCGTCGTATATAGTTATGTAAGGAAATAAGTGGCACTGTGGATTAGCACTGTGTAAGATCGGAGATACGCTCGGACCGCCGAGCACTCGGCGAGACTAGATTGCTATGTTAGCGTAGAGGGGAAAAAGTTCTCCTTTTCCTCCTTACGTTAAAGTCTTATAATATACGACTATTAACCCTAATAGTATAATCCGCTACGGTGCACCTTTTCCCTGGTATTATAACCTATTCCTTAATAAGTTATTAGGCGGCCGTTACTTGTACTAATAATCTTTATTATATAAGCGTTAGTTAGAGACTAAATTATGGATAAAATCTTTATAGTAGGCAATACTAAGGAGCTTAACATTCGAGCTACCGCCAGCCGTTCCTTCTATCTATATAATAATACTACCGTATTCTTAGATAGGAAGAGTTCAACAGCCCGCGACGATATAATGCCCTCGCGTTATAGGTCTATAATTAGTAAAACTTGTGATATAGTTAAAGATATAAATAGTCGCTTCGGAGTTAAGGATAGCCGACTTTAGAAGAGGGTAATCTACGGCAACCCCCGCGGATACCCCGGGTATATAAACCTTGGCGAGCACTCCACTACGGCCCGGCACTATTATAGGCGCCGGAACCTCGCCCTGTACCTATTAGGCCTTAGTACAAGCGGTAGTATACTCTTAGACAGGCTTTTTCTTATATGCCTTTATTTTATTATAACATTTTTCAGCTCTAGCTTACTCTTAAGGAACCTACTTACTAGGTAACTTATAGTAGTTCCAGGATATTACTCTAAATTAGCTTCTTTAGAGAATATATACTACTAAACCTTAAGTGTATGTCCTAGTATTAAGTATATAGGGTAGTTCTTAGTGCGTTCGTAGTAGGACTGCCGTCTTTTTAATGGATTACCGGTTATTAACGATTTTAAGAAATTATTACTTAAGGCCCGTTATTCCGACTATAGTAATTGGTTATTCCGACCATAGTTTAGTTATAGGCCCACGTATTTTATTTTACTGAATACTATCCGCCACAGGTATATAACTACGATACAGTTATAATTAGATCGTAAAGATTGTAAACCACTATAACGTCTTTGTCAAGCTTTTTTATAGAAACTAAAATAACCGCTCGGCTTAATTAAAGGAAGTCGTAGGTGTGATCTTAAGAACTCGGATTAGGACCCGTCGTTCTATTTTATAGCTAATTACCACTACGTTATAAAATCCCGCTTCCTATATATCTACCGGTTCTATATCCTAGTAACTACTACTACGCTTATAATTAACGGATAAGCTCGTCTGTTTAATTAATGCTATTCGTAACGGTCGTAATGGTCGTAACGCTTATAACGATAATTCCACGGCCTTGACCTCCACGCCCACGCCCACACCCACGGCCGCGTAATTAGCCGATGGACTAATAGATTAATTAACCAATGGATTGATTAAGTAATGGGTTTAATTAACTAATAGGTAAATTAACTAATAGATCAAGGGTATAAAGATAGAAGATAGGTGGTTTAGTCGAATTAATAATAGAGGCTGTAGGTGGTAAACTGGATGCTAAATTTTGATTTGTTGGAAAAGTGGATCCATGACCAAGCTACAGTCGGAATAACCAGTTGGTATAGTCGGAATATCGGGCCCCTTATTACTTTTCCCCTGACCACGGCCGCCGCTACTACTACCGCTACTACTGCTACTACTACTACCTTTACCGCTGCCTTTCTTCTTCTAGGTTAACGACGAGGAGGCTTATAAGGCTTATATATTATCGTCCTTCTTATCGATATTAAGGCCAGGGAAAGCTGCCGCGCGGGGCCCTCGAGGCTACGTTAAAGAATTATTGGTATTATACTTTACTTTCAATACTAGCTTAGTAGGTATAGCGGTTTCGGTATTAAAATCCTTTTCTAGCATGTGAATCTAGGTAGTATCGAGAGGCCTTATAGCCTAAAAGAAGTCGTTTACCTATACGTTAGAGTTCTTAAAGCTATTATTATTATCGCACGCGATACTAACGTCGCGCTAATAATTTATCTACTCGCTAATATTCTTAAGGTTATTAGGAGCCTTATAAAGGTATAGTTAATACTAGCTTATAGTAGTCCTTTTATAGTTTACGATATAACCTACGCTATTGGTTTTTATAGCCTTATATACCTTGTTAATATTACTAATAATATCCTTCGAGTATATCCTTCGAGTACCTTCGTACTCGAATAAAGGATATCTTCCCCGTAAGCCTAGACTGTTCGAGTTAGATATAGGATTACGTCTTAGATAAAGGATTACGTTATTACTACAATCTTAATCCCTTTATAAAGAAAGACGATCTCGATCCCTTTATAAAGAAGGAAAGAATAAAGGACATTAACCCGTCCCCTCGGTTCGGTTTTTCCTTCTTTTGTTCTTCTTCTTTATCGTTTTTTATATAATCCAGACGCGCGCAGAAATTCTACTATTATAATCCTATTATTACTATCTATTTTGCTACTGCTTTTCGTGACTTTTATCTCTTCTACTTATCCGTAATCTTTAAAAGGTTATAAGCCCGGAAAAGCTTAACTAAAGTCTTGAAATATTATATTCCTTAATTACCTATGGCCATAAGCTAAACAGAGAATCCCCCGATTTTAAATACTAGTCCCTATCCCTATCCGATATTCCTCTTTATATATTACCGATACTACCTACCTACCCCCTTACCGACCTATATACCTAGATCTCCGATTCGAATAATCGGTCGGGTTAGTCGTACGCTTAGGCATCTATAAATCATAAAAATTATAAAAGCTACGATTACGTCAATTAAATAGGGGTACTCTTCATTTTTTACGTACGGATACTATAACTACTATACTATAAGAGCTATTTTATTATCCTACTAGGATACCTTTTATTACTTATAAGTCTTTGGTTCTTTTATTAAGATTTCTATACCTATATATTTTCCGACCGTGGAATCCTATATAAATATCGTGTTTTCTACGTAGCTATAAATCCCCTTATTCCGCGAAGACCTATTTTAGGATCCTTGCGAATAAAGGAATTATACCGGCTCCAATTTAGCGCTATTAGAATAAAGGAATACTATCTTTAGAAATGAAGGAATTCTATTATCCGTATATACGGGTATCGTTGTCTTTATCTACTAAGCCGTTTTTCCTCTTTTAGAATAAAGAACTATATGCTGGCTTTATTTTAGACCCGCACGAATAAAGGTATCGCTATAGTACCCACCTATATAAAGAATAAAAAAAAGAATAAAGAAACGAACGAATTTTCTTATTTATATTATAACTTCGTGAGTTTTTATCTTAAATAAATAACATACATACCGTCTAGAAGCCCTTAAAACACCCGTATAGACAGGACTTAAAGATATTAACGTGAAGAAGCTTAAGGGTAGTTAAGACTACTAGACCTGGACGATAGCTATATATGCGCACTATATATATGAGGGAAAGCTTCTAAAAGAGCTTATAAAACCCCTGCCTTTAGATACCTCTAATGAGGCTAAAAAAGAAGATTTAAAGACTACTAGAGATTTACTCTCCGCTCTATAAGATAGGCCCCTAACGCAGGTTTAGGACCTTAATTTTCTTTTAGAAATCTAGGAAAAGCTAAATTCCCTATACGAGAAAAAGGGGGTTTAAGCTGACTACGATATCCTTATATCGCTCTTTAACCTAGACGTCTTAGAATTCCCTATACTTAAGGACTTTGTATATAAAGTCTAAGAAAGACTAATTATCCTTCGAGGAAGGGATATTATACTACCTGATAAGGTGGTTTTTTCCCTAGACCCTAAACTATCTCGATAGGTGTTACGACGTAGGTACCATATAGATTACGTAGGCCTTTCAATATAATATTAATAGTTATACGTTCGATAAAATTATTTCGGAACGAATAGACGTATCGAGGAAATTCGACTCTTCCACTTTAAAGGCCCTGCTTATAAAAACCCAGAAAAATCAGAAAAGTCAGAAGAAGAAGCAGAAAAAACAGTCTAATAGCGGTCAGAAGAACGTCTTCTATAGTAACTATAAAAGGCCTGGG